GGCAGCACAGAGATATGCACCTGCCAGGCCTCAGGCGAGGTTGTCTGTGAGGAGTCCCAGTGCACCCAAGAGGAGGAATGCATGGTCAGGAATGGGATGCGCAGCTGTGTGCAGCAGATGGGCCGGTGCACACTGGCCCCGGGAGCATGGTTCACCTCCTTCGATGGTGTCACAAGGAAAGTCCTCCTTGATGGGGCCTATGAGCTGACTTCTCTCTGCGAAGGGACCAACCTCCCCTGGTTCCGGATGGTGGTTATTGTGTTCAGAGGAGATGACTTGGCAACTCCAGAAGGCATCTACGTTTTCTTCGATGAGGGTCTTATCCATATCAATAAGAAAAAGGAGGTCTGGGTAAGAGGAAGCTGGGTTAGCACAGCCTAATCCAAGGAGAGAGCAAAAATCTGGGGGAGGAGTGATCTGCCCAAAGTCACATGTTACGCTGGAAATTGAGTGCGGGACTCCTCTTAGGACCCTGAAGTAGCCACTAATACAGGAGTCCCAGCCCCCAGCACTAACCTCCTGGACCCTCACCCCACCCTCTGAGAGGTGGGCCTAGAACCCTTCCGTTCTGAACCTTAGCCACTCATCACCAATGGATTAAGCACCACATGGAGCGAGGAGCCTGAACTCCTCACCTCCTCTAATGGCCAGGCTGCACTGCGCCAATATAAAGGCTGTTCCTAGCACACCAGCAGGCTCACCTGCAGTAGCTCTAGGGATCTGGATTGAAGAGAAGACTTTTGTTTAGTCATTTTAACCACTCGACCCCTGGCGCGAGCGTTGTCCGAGGAGACCCCTCGCCTTTGCTAAGTGGGTGAGAGCTGGGGCTCAGGATGGTGCTTTGAGTAGATCTAGTCCTGGTCCCAGCTGGAAATGGAGAGTGAAGCATGCACGTCTGTGTTGTGGGCAGGATTTCTGGCATTGTTTTTTGGACAGAAAATACGTATTTGCTGAACCCAGAACTTTTCCTGAAGCAGGTTGGATTTGATGAAGGCCCCGAATGAACAAACAAACCCAACCCCTCTGGACAAGATCTGAAATGGTCAAAATGAAACATTTTGGTATTTTCAAAATGAATAATTCTGGTTTTTCATATAGAATAGCAGCTTTGTGCTCAAACCATTGGTGAGCTAGTTCACAAACCAGTTAACAGGAAAGGTCAAAACAGAAACGGCACCACTTTACTGAAACAAACCATTTTGACTGAGCTGTAACAGCAACAACAAGCACAGTCTCTTGCTTGTGAACATTTTGAAGACTTTCTGTACTAATTCAGGATAAAAAACATTTCAAACTCTTGAAAAATCATGGGAGTACTAGAAAACCATTTCCTCCCTCCTTGGGTATTCACAACCCCCAAAACAATCCTGCTTTGAGCGTGGCTCCAAGGACTGAAGGAATACACTCTGGGGACCATTATATATTCTCTGCCCAGCCTTATTTCTATCACAGTAGGGGAGGGAGACTGGGAATAAGGAGTCCCAAGTATGGAAGCACAGTGGGGGCCCACTTGTGATCAGGGCCCCATTGTACTAGGCACTGCATAGACACACAGCAAGACACGGGCCCCCCCCACCTGTGATCGGGGCCCCATTGTGCTAGGCACTGCATAGACACACAGCAGGACACGGGCCCCCCCCACCTGTGATCGGGGCCCCATTGTGCTAGGCACTGCATAGACACACAGCAGGACACGGGCCCCCCCCACCTGTGATCGGGGCCCCATTGTGCTAGGCACTGCATAGACACACAGCAGGACACGGGCCCCCCCCACCTGTGATCGGGGCCCCATTGTGCTAGGCACTGCATAGACACACAGCAGGACACGGGCCCCCCCCACCTGTGATCGGGGCCCCATTGTGCTAGGCACTGCATAGACACACAGCAGGACACGGGCCCCCCCCACCTGTGATCGGGGCCCCATTGTGCTAGGCACTGCATAGACACACAGCAGGACACGGGCCCCACCCACCTGTGATCAGGGACCTGTTGCGCTGGCCCAAAGAATCAGCACCCCCTGCTGTGTTATATGGGCCCCACTGTCTCATAATGGGGCCTGCAGACACTAGACTCCCTCTCACAAAGCCCAGGTTTTCTCTGATCTCCCGTCTGTGCCTTCCAGGTGAGAGGTCACCAAAAGCAGTTCCCGGTGATGTTGTCCAAAACTCTGTCTGTGAGCGAGTCTCAGGGCACCATCATGATTGTCCAGGGCTCCAGAATAAAGATCCTGTTCAGCCTGAGCGGGGAGGTGACGGTGACAGTCAGCCAGAGCCTGGCCAACGAGCTGTGTGCACCTTGTGGGAACTTCAATGGTGATGACTCCGATGACCTGCGGCTGCCCAGTGGGCAGGTGGTGGGGAACATCACAGAGGTCTTTGAAGCCTGGAAGGCACGAGACCTCCCAAGAAGGTAAGGGGCTCTTCAAAGGGCTGCTTCTTCCAGGGCAGCCTGGCCACCCACTCGCCGCCTGTGTGCTCCTGGGCTTAGCCTGGTTCCTAGATTGCACAGGTTCCAAGGCGAGAGAAGGCCTCCGAGATGCTCTAGTCCAGCCCCCGCGTAACCAGGCCAGGACTGGTGCAGACCTTTTAGAAAAGCATCCAGTCTGGATTGGAGCCTTTTCAGTGCTGGAGAATCCACTACTGGGTTGGGGCTGTCTGATGGGAAATACCAAACCTGTCCTAGGAGAGTTGACGCTGCACTTCAGACCCATAGCTCAGAGTGAAAACGCGTCCTCACTGGAGTGGCAGCTGTGACAACAACATTCCAACCAGCCCGCCAAGCCTGAAGTCCCTCTTGCTGGCCCTGGGCCCCAGTGCAGAATGGAGGGGGAAGATGGTCTTGCTCTTCTTCTAGCCTCTCGTGCCTGTGCACCCCCTGGGACTGAAAAGGGGCCCTGAAGCTGCAGCCAGCTCTGATGAACCAGTGCTGCTGCCATGTGCCCAGGGCAGAAGCCCGGCTGGTCTCTCTGGGTGTGTCTACCCCTCAGCCAGGTGGGACCGCAGCATGTGCAGCGATAGCTCCACTGGGTTGGGTGAGCTAGCTCACCAAAAATAGCAGCAAAGCTGCAGCAGCCTGGGAGAACTGCACAAGTACCTGCCTGGGGCCTGGGGCAGGCCTGTGGTCAGGCTGTTAGCTGCTGTCAAGCTACTGAGGCAGCCCTACCCCTCCTGCAGTCTCCCTTTCTGATTGCATTGTAGACGTAGCCTGGTCAGTAAGCAAGAAGGGACTTTCAGGGCTGGAAGCCAGGGACCCCCACCCGACACCTGTGTTCTGGAACCTGCTGGCCAGGGCTACCTGCCTCCCCCTTGGCTGGCCAGGGCCACCTGCCTCCCCCTTGGCTGGGCAGGGCCCCCTGCCTCCCCCTTGGCTGGCCAGGGGGCCCTGCCAGGGCCACCTGCCTCCCCCTGGGCTGGCCAGGGCTACCTGCCTCCCCCTTGGCTGGAGTAGACAGTAGCTCAGATTCCTTTCTGTGGCACCTTCGCTCTGCTTCTGCTTTGGCCCCTGGCATAGAGGAGGGCAGCCACGGGCTGCTTCACCACCTGGCTCCACCCAGAACTGCTGCAGGGACACAGAGTATGAGGGTGACTGCTCTTGCCCCAAGCCTGGCATGGCCCATACGCTGGGACTTCTGAGGTGGGCAGCACAGCTCTTGCCCGTACCAGCACTACATTACTCCAGCCCTGGGGCAATTCTTCTGGCACCTTTATTAACCTAGAGTGAGGTGCGAGGCGGGGCGGATGCTCTCAGTCACTGTATGGACTCTGGGTTCTTGATGAGATGGTCCCAGTGTCCACAGAGTTCACTGGATTTCGGTCCAGTTGGCAGGCAGGAGTCTCTTAAAATATTTTGAGGTGGTTGGATAAAAAGTTCTGTCAAGCTCGATCCCTTTGGCAGCCCAGCAGGAGGGACAAGATTTGGTCTCTTTCTCTTCTAGCAGTGTCTGAAAGCCGGCAGAGCCACCCCTTCCCTTCTCTGCACTGGGCTGGCCGGTCACTCATCGCAGGTGACAGTGTGTGCCTTCCTGTGTGTGCGGCGCTCCCAGCAGTGCTGGGAAATCGCTTCTGTACCTGTCAACAAAGACGTTTGCGGCAGATCTGAAGCAGCCCACTCCGGCATTTCTCGGGAAACGGCTTTCAAGTAGCACGTGAATCCGCCTGCGCGGTTCCTTCACACCGCCCTTTACGGCCTTTTTATGCTGCCACAGTGGAATAAAGGATCCTTGGAAAACTGCGACTCAGGCTATGTCTCAGTGCAAAGCGGGCTGGGAAGCTGGGCAGCCGGTCCTAGGCACGCTGCCGATACCCTGGGGACCATGGGAGAGCTGTGCCAAGGTGGGTAACCACAGCCTCCCTCTGAGCCAGAAGGTGCCTTGCCTAACCCATGGAGCCCTCGGCTCTGCATCCAACCCACAACTGCCGGGGTCAGCCCATGAGCCGACCCGCCATCTGCTGCCGTCGTTTACCTCTGTCCGTGTCTGCACCCACAGCAGCAAGCTGTGCTGAGGGGGCAGGGGAAGGGCATGGATGTGAGTGAGCAGTGGGTGGGGTCTTGCAAGGAAGAGGTGGCACACGGTCAGGGCGGGCATAAGTGTGGGGTGGGGGCAGGGCTTTGAAAAGGAGGTGTGCGGAGGGGACTTGGGGGAAGGGCTGTCACATTAGGTGCTGCTTATTATTGTCTTAAGCGGGGATGGGGAAACTTTTCTGGGTGGGGGGCTGTTAACCCATGAAGATATCAATCTGGGCTGCCCAAAAGTGCACATACACAAACTATTGCAGATGCCCCAGCCAGGGTGCAGAAGATGAGGTCCCGCAAAGAGCTCAAAAAACCCAACCCACCCTTGCCTCAGAATCACAACTTCCCCCAGAATCACAATATACAGGTATCGGGGGAGGAGGGGTCATTGCCGCCATCAAACGATTTTTATCCCTAAAACCAGGGGCAAACACTTGAACCCACCTCAGGGTACCCCAAGCTCTTCTGCCACAAGAGAGCTTGAAAAGAGAAAAACAAGCTGCAGTCTCCGGTAGCTGACCTCTCAGTCTGAGCCATGAAGACACACACCGACACACAGACCTCCTGCACCTTCCAGGACACAAGAATCACTTACAAAAGTGACTTTTATTACAAAACAAAAGAGATACTTGAGAAAGCAGACTTGGTTGCTAGATGTTACAGAGCAAGTAAGGAAAACAAATTAAAAACACAGAAAATCTCTGGGAACAATGCTTAGATGGTAAATGGAGAGGGGTAAATAGATCCACACAAAGTAGTTCAAACCAAACCACAAAATAAAGAAAAAATACCCTGAAAGTGACTAGATTCACTCCCCACTCCCTTTACTTACTTCCAATCTTCTCTTTGTTCAGTCCACTTCCATGCCCCGAATTCCTTGGAGGCATAGTAGTCCTGTCTGGGTTTAAATCATTCTGTGTCTCTCAACTCCTGGTTTCTCTCTCCCACACAAAGAAAGCAGGCAAGGAATCTTATACAATTCAAAATTCAGCACCACATGCCCAATGGTTCTTCTGGCTACCCAAGTTTAACCCCTTAGTTACTGGGTGCTGGTCAGCACTCCTCCTGTCCATTACAGTATCCTTCCATTCCCCAGTCCAGTAAATCCAGCTTGTGCAACATGGGTGGCTGGAAATAGGTGGATCATAACACTCCCTGGCCAAAGGACCTGTCCATGGGCAAATATCTAGTTACATCCTTTCCTCCTTCAACCACTTCTCAATTCCAATTTAAGGGCAAAGGGGGCTGGGCAAGAAGATGGCATTGCATGGGTGAGCCAGGGAGGGGAGCAGGTACGACAGGGTAGACCTCCACAGTTGGGTGAAGTGTATGGTGTATTTGAGGAATGCTAGTGACAAACAATAGAAAGTGAGGGATATGGAGGAGCTAAAGCATGTGATCTTACTCCCAAACACAAGCTATACACTAAGAATTGACAAGATGGATCCATCTAATCTGGCACCCCAGTCTCTACTACCCTGGAGCTGAATAATGGTCCATTTAATCTTCTATCCAGAACTGACCAGCACTTATTTTTTCCCTCCTGCAGACAACTGTAATGAAAATGAAGAAGAAAAAATAACTTTCATCTCAGTTTACCTGTGGAAAATTGTAACTTTTATTATTATTAATTATTATGAATAATAATAATAAATAATAATAATAATAATATAAAAACTAAGAAACATTTTCTTTTGGTGCTTTTTCAAAAGGTCAAGCATTGTCTATAGAAAGTAGACAGCTCTCATGAAAAATGTCAGCTTTTTTTTTTCAGTCAAAAACCAGTGTAAGTTTTCAAAGCAGCAGCTATTGCCAGGTGCTTCAGAGAAAGGAGCAAGAAATCCCATAATGGCAGAACAACTTGCATATGAGGGACACCCCTTATACTGTCGCATTTTCCTCATTCTTTCCATTCCTACAGCTTGTCTCTGCCTTGGCTTCTGTGCCCTCCTGTCTTCTGGAGCGTGGTCATTGCTGCCTTCCAGTCCTTTCACAGGCATGTCTTAATCCCTTCTTTGAACCCCTCCAGGCGCTCCCTACTGTGTTGTGTTTCAGGCTGGTTTCTGATCCTTGCTTTCAAGGCCTTAGGGGTAGTGTGAGCCCACACAGTCCCATTGACTTCGGCAGGGCCCTGCTGAGAAGCTGGATCTATATTTCCAACCTTGTCTGCTTTCTTGTATTTTATCCCTTATGTCTGCCAGTAACTTTGGGCCAGAAATCTCCTCTGTTCTCTTCTCCAACTATGAGCTTCTTCAGCTCCTTCTAATCTCACTCCTTCTATTTCAAGTGAGCTATAACCTCAGTAAAACAACACAAGCCTGGTATCACACTATCTAGAATGGCTTGTGACTGCAGAGCAGACTGTCAAAAGCAGGGCAGACACCCCAAACTAGTGGCATGTTCTACAATTAGATTTCACAAAGCCAGTAACCATTGAGGAGTCCTGAAGTGCTGCAGAAGTCTTATAAGGGAGTCACAGAGACTCCAGTCTATCATGCTACCCAGACACTAAGGGTATGTCTACACTAGCCCCCTAGTTCGAACTAGGGTGGCTAATGTAGGCATTTGAAGTTGCAAATGAAGCCCGGGATTTAAATATCCCAGGCTTTATTTGCATCTTCCCGACTGGGTGCCATTTCTAAATCCCCTTAGTCCGAACTAACTGCCCGCAGCTATACGCGGCAGTAAAACGTTAATTCGAACTAAGTCCTTAGTTCGAATTAACTATTACTCCTCATGGAATGAGGTGTTGCTTCATTTGCAACTTCGAATGCCTACATTAGCCTCCCTAGTTCGAACTAGGGGGCTAGTGTAGACATACCCTATAAGAAATGCTCACTTACACCAAAAATCACACCAGAATTACTCCTGTCCCAAGAGATCAATCACTCACCCAGGTTGAGTTGCATGTTAGATCTCACACTGTGTCAGTAGTCAGTTCTATAGTAATCCAAACAATGATTTATTAGGGAAAAAAGTGAAAATTATTATGAGGTTAATTATTAAGAGGTTAAAGCATGTAAAATATATGAACAGGTGAGTTACAGTCTATAAATGCAAATGGTAGCTGTGATGTAGCAATCTGCCAGTTCCCCACAAATCTCCCAGGCCTACCCAGAATAACTGTGGGGTTCTCCATCTTCTTGGTTAGCTATTCTGCCCTGTTAGGCTATGTCTACACTGCAACACTATTTCAGGATTCCGAACTATACCGAAATAGCTATCCCGCGTCTTCACAGCAAGCCCGTTATTTTGGGCTCGCTACTCCAACATTCCTGTAAACCTCATTTATGGAAAGTAAAGGATGTTTCAGAATAGCACTTTGTTTAAAAATCTGGCGCTGTGTAGACAGCACCAAATGATGAAATAAGCTATTTCGAAATAGCATAAAAATAAGACACTCAATCTGCGTATCTCAAAGTGCGTATCTTATTTCGAGTTACAGTGCAGTGTAGATGCACCCTTAGAATCCAAACAGTCCAGAGATAAAGATTTTTTAAAGTTTTCCTTGTATCCGTATTTAGAGCTTTGTCTCACAGAAACAAGCTGACAGGGTCACTTCTCCCATGGGCTCGTTCTCTGATGCCGGAGACGGGGAAGCAGTTAGAGCCTTTTATCTCTGATGATCACACATGATAAGCACTTTCCTTCAAATGTGTGTGAAGGAGCAGGTTCCTGGTCTCCACTGAACTACCGGAGGCTTCTTTCTGTTTGAGGGGTTCTACACCCCAGTGTTAAGGCAACACAAGGCAGCTAAGGAGGTGTCCACACTTAGATGTTGCTCCCGCTGAGGTAACTGCCCTGCAACCTGGCTTAGTGACGCCATCTCCACCTGTCCATTGCTGGCTTTCAGAAAGTGTCCCACAATGCACCCCATGGACAGTCCACGTGGCACAAGCTCTCCTCAGGAGCAGTCACACTGCTGACACAAGGAGCAAAGAGAAGAGCCACACAAGCCATGTAATTGGTGTGGTGGCTCTCTGCCCACAGAAGCTAGGTCAGCTTCTTTTAGTAGTGTAGACATGGCTTTAGTTATAGGGATATGTGCAATGCAAATGTTTTCTGTTACATTATAACCGTGGTCCCCAACACAGTGCCCGCGGGCGCCATGGCGCCCGTGGGGGCATTCGTGTGCGCTCGCCACGTGCTCGGGGCTGGCCTGGCTCTGGGCATGTAGCGCATACACAGTGCCGGAGCCGGCTCCAGGCGCATGGTGAGCGCTGGTCACGGGGCGCCGGCTCCGGGTGCGTGGCGCTTGGAGGGGGGGCGCTGGCCCCGGGCGCTTGGAGGAGGGGGCGCCGGCCCCGGGC